AATATTGAATTTCTTCTCCAGCCCTCATTTCTGACGGAATATTTTTATTCCCAGGGAGATCCTGGAGCAGCAGGACAGCCAGGAATCCCGGGAGACAAAGGGGACAAGGTGAAAAACTGGAATTTTCAACCATCCTTCATGGGTTGAAGCTCCAAAAATGACAAATCCCTGGGATTTCTTTTTTTTCCCAGGGAAGTCCAGGATTTGGGATTCCCGGTCAGCCCGGGCTGAAGGGAGACACGGGAGACAGGGTGAGTGGGAAAAAATGTGGGAAAGGGAGGGATAAAGGGGAAAATCGGGAGGTTTGGGGGGAAAATCAGGAGATTTGGGGACAAAATCAGGAGGTTTGGGGACCAAATCAGGAGATTTAGACACAAAATGTCAACTCCAGGCAGGGGGAAAATTGGGGAAAAGGGAGGGATAAAGGGGAAAATCAGGAGGTTTGGTGACAAAATGTCTCTGTCAACTCCATGTAGGGGAAAAAATGTGGGAAAGGGAAGGATAAAGGGGAAAATCTCTCTTGTAAGCTCCAGGCAGGTAAAAAAATGTGGGAAAGGGAGGATTTAGGGGGAAAATCAGGAGGTAAAGAGAGAAAATCAGGAGATTTGGGGACAAAATGTCTTTTGTCAACTCCAGGCAGGGGAAAAAATGTGGGAAGGGGAGGATTTAGGGGGAAAATCAGGAGATTTAGAGACAAAATGTCTCTTGTTAGCTCCAGGCAGGTGAAAAAATGTGGGAAGGGGAGGGATAAAGGGGAAAATCAGGAGGTTTAGGGACAAAATCAGAGGGTTTGGGGACAAAATGTCTCTTGTCAACTCCATGTAGGTGAAAAAATGTGGGAAAGGGAGGGATAAAGGGGAAAATTGGGAGGTTTGGGGCCAAAATCAGGAGATTTAGACACAAAATGTCAGCTCCAGACAGGGGGAAAACAGGGGAAAAGGGACGGATAAAGGGGAAAATCAGGAGGTTTGGGGACAAAATGTCTCTTGTCAGTTCCATGTAGGGGAAAAAATGTGGGAAAGGGAGGGATTAGGGGAGAAATTGGGAGGTTTGGGGACAAAATCAGGAGGTTTGGGGACAAAATGTCTCTTGTCAACTCCAGGGAGGGGAAAAAATGTGGGAAGGGAAGGGATAAAGGGGAAAATCAGGAGGTTGGGGGACAAAATCAGGACATTTAGAGACAAAATGTCTCTTGTCAACTCAATGCAGGGGAAAAAATTAGGAAAAGGGAGGATTAAGGGGAAAAATCAGGAGGTAAAGAGAGAAAATCAGGAGGTTTTGGGACAAAATGTCTCTTGGCAACTCCAGGCAGGTGGAAAAAATGTGGGAAGGGGAGGTTTTAGGGACAAAATCAGGAGGTTTGGGGACAAAATGTCTGTCAACTCCAGGCAGGTGGAAAAAATGTGGGAAGGGGAGGGTTTAGGGGAAAATCAGGAGGTAAAGAGAGAAAATCAGGAGGTTTAGAGACAAAATGTCAGCTCCAGGCAGGGGGA